ACGTGGTGGGGAGGTGAGGGAGAGAACAGCAATGTGACGTGGTGGGGAGGTGAGGGAGAGAAACAGCAATGTGACGTGGTGGGGAGGTGAGGGAGAGAAACAGCAATGTGACGTGGTGGGAGAGTGAGGGAGAGAAACAGCAATGTGACGTGGTGGGAGGTGAGGGAGAGAAACAGCAATGTGACGTGGTGGGGAGGTGAGGGAGAGAAACAGAATTGGGACGTGGTGGGGAGAGGTGAGGGAGAGAAACAGAATTGGGACGTGGTGGGGAGGTGAGGGAGAGAAACAGAATTGGGACGTGGTGGGGAGGTGAGGGAGGAAGAAATAGCAATTTGACGTAGTGGGGAGGTGAGGGAGAGAAACAGCAATGTGACGTGGTGGGGAGGTGAGGGAGAGAAACAGCAATGTTGACGTGGTGGGGAGGGGAGGGAGAGAAACAGCAATGTGACGTGGGAGGGAGGGAGAGAAACAGCAATGTGACGTGGGGGAGGGGAGGGAGAGAAACAGCAATGTGACGTGGTGGGAGGTGAGGGAGAGAAACAGCAATGTGACGTGGTGGGGAGGTGAGGGAGAGAAACAGCAATGTGACGTGGTGGGGAGGGGAGGGAGAGAAACAGCAATGTGACGTGGCGGGAAATAGCAGTGTGGCGACGTGGTGGTGAAGTGAGGGCAGGTAATAGCAAGGTGGCGACGTGGTGAAGTTAGGGCAGGAAATAACAAGGTGGCGACGCTGGTGGAGAAGTGAGGGTGGGAAATAGCAAGGTGGCGACGTGGTGGAGAAGCAAGGATGGGAAATAGCAAGGTGGCGACGTGGTGGAGAAGCGAGGATGGGAAATAGCAAGGTGGCGACGTGGTGGAGAAGCGAGGATGGGAAATAGCAAGGTGGCGACGTGGTGGAGAAGCGAGGATGGGAAATAGCAAGGTGGCGACGTGGTGGAGAAGCGAGGATGGGAAATAGCAAGAGGTGGCGACGTGGTGGAGAAGCGAGGGTGGGAAATAGCAAGGTGGCGACGTGTGGAGAAGCGAGGGTGGGAAATAGCAAGGTGGCGACATGGTGGAGACGCGAGGGTGGGAAATAGGAAGGTGGCAACATGGTGGAGACGTGAGGGTGGGAAATAGCAAGGTGGCAACATGGGGAGACGTGAGGGTGGGAAATAGCAAGGTGGCGACGTGGTGGAGACGCAAGGTGGGAAATAGCAATGTGGCAACATGGTGGAGACGCGAGGGTGGGAAATAGCAATGTGGCAACATGGTGGAGACGCGAGGGTGGAAATAGCAATGTAGCGACGTGGTGGAGAAGCGAGGGTGGGAAATAGCAATGGCAACGTGGTGGAGACGCGAGGATGGAAATAGCAAGGTGGCGACGTGGTGGAGAAGCGAGGATGGGAAATAGCAAGGTGGCGACGTGGTGGAGAAGCGAGGGTGGGAAATAGCAAGGTGGCGACATGGTGGAGACGCGAGGTGGGAAATAGCAAGGTGGCGACATGGTGGAGACGCGAGGGTGGGAAATAGCAAGGTGGCAACATGGTGGAGACGCGAGGGTGGGAAATAGCAAGGTGGCGACGTGGTGGAGACGCAAGGGTGGGAAATAGCAATGTGGCAACATGGTGGAGACGCGAGGGTGGGAAATAGCAATGTGGCAACATGGTGGAGACGCGAGGGTGGGAAATAGCAATGTGGCAACGTGGTGGAGACGCGAGGGTGGGAAATAGCAATGTGGCAACTTGGTAGAGACGCGAGGGTGGAAATAGCAATGTGGCAACTTGGTAGAGACGCGAGGGTGGGAAATAGCAATGTGGCAACTTGGTAGAGACGCGAGGGTGGAAATAGCAATGTGGCAACTTGGTAGAGACGCGAGGTGGGAAATAGCAATGTGGCAACATGGTAGAGACGCGAGGGTGGGAAATAGCAATGTGGCAACATGGTGAGACGCGAGGGTGGGAAATAGCAATGTGGCAACATGTGGAGACGTGAGGGTGGGAAATAGCAATGTGGCAACATGGTGGAGACGCGAGGGTGGGAAATAGCAATGTGGCAACATGGTGGAGACGCGAGGGTGGGGAAATAGCAAATGTGCAAACATGGTGGAGACGCGAGGGTGGGAAATAGCAATGTGGCAACATGGTGGAGACGCGAGGGTGGGAAATAGCAATGTGGCAACATGGTGGAGACGCGAGGGTGGGAAATAGCAATGTGGCAACATGGTGGAGACGCGAGGGTGGGAAATAGCAATGTGGCAACATGGTGGAGACGCGAGGGTGGGAAATAGCTATGTGGCAACATGGTGGAGACGCGAGGGTGGGAAATAGCAATGTGGCAACATGGTGGAGACGCGAGGGGGAAATAGCAATGTGGCAACATGGTAGAGACGCGAGGGTGGAAAATAGCAATGTGGCAACATGTGAGAAGCGAGGGTGGAAAAATAGCAATGTGGCGACGTGGTGGAGAAGCGAGGGCGGATATAGCAATGTGGCGACGTGGTGGAGAAGCGAGGGCGGGATATAGCAATGTGGCGACGTGGTGGAGAAGCGAGGCGGGAAATAGCAATGTGGCGACGTGGTGGAGAAGCGAGGGCGGGAAATAGCAATGTGGCGACGTGTGAAGCGAGGCGGGGAAAGCAATGTGGCGACGTGGTGGAGAAGCGAGGGCGGGAAAAAGCAATGTGGCGACGTGGTGGAGAAGCGAGGGCGGGAAAAAGCAATGTGGCGACGTGGTGGAGAAGCGAGGGCGGGAAAAAGCAATGTGGCGACGTGTGGAGAAGCGAGGGCGGGAAAAAGCAATGTGGCGACGTGGAGAAGGGAGGGCGGGATATTGCCATGCGACGTGGTGGATGAGGAGCAATGGGACGTAGTGAAGGAGGGTGGCGAGACATAGCAATGGGACATGGTGGAGAAGCAAGGGCGGGAAATCGCAATGCGACGTGGAGAAGCAAGGGCGGGAAATCACAATTCAATGTGGTGGAGAAGGGAGGGTGGGAAATCACAATCCAACGTGGTGGAGAAGGGAGGCAGGAAATCACAATGCAACGTTGGTGGAGAAGGGAGGGCAGGAAATCACAATGCAACATGGTGGAGAAGGAGGGCGGGAAATCACAATGCAACGTAGTGGAGAAGGAGGGCGGGAAATCACAATGCAACGTGGTGGAGAAGGGAGGGCAGGAAATCACAATCCAACATGGTGGAGAAGGAGGGCGGAAATCACAATGCAACGTGGTGGAGAAGGAGGCGGGGAAATCACAATGCAACGTATGGAGAAGGGAGGCGCGGAAATCACAATGCAACGTGGTGGAGAGAAGGAGGGCGGGAAATCACAATGCAACGTGGTGGAGAAGGGAGGCGGGAAATCACAATGCAACGTGGTGGAGAAGGGAGGGCGGGAAATCACAATGCAACGTGGTGGGAGAAGGGAGGGCAGGAAATCACAATGCAACGTGGTGGAGAAGGGAGGGCGGGAAATCACAATGCAACGTGTGGAGAAGGGAGGGCGGGAAATCACAATGCAACGTAGTGGAGAAGGGAGGGCGGGAAATCACAATGCAACGTGGTGGAGAAGGGAGGGCGGGAAATCACAATGCAACGTAGTGGAGAAGGAGGGCGGGAAATCACAATGCAACGTGGTGGAGAAGGGAGGGCGGGAAATCACAATGCAACGTATAGTGGAGAGGGAGGGCGGGAAATCACAATGCAACGTAGTGGAGAAGGGAGGGCGGGAAATCACATGCAACGTGGTGCAGAAGGGAGTGGGAGAGACATAGCAATGGGATGTGGTGAAGACGATGGACGTGGTGGGAGAGACATAGCAATGGGACGTGGTGAAGGGAGGTGGGGAGAACATAGCAATGGACGTGGTGAAGGGAGGGTGGAGAGACATAGCAATGGGACGTGGTGAAGGGAGGGTGGGCGAGACATAGCAATGGGACGTGGTGAAGGGAGGGTGGGAGACATAGCATGGGACGTGGTGAAGGGAGGGTGGGAGAGACATAGCAATGGGACGTGGTGAAGGGAGTGGGTGAGACATAGCAATGGGACGTGGTGAAGGGAGGGTGGGCGAGACATAGCAATGGGACGTGGTGAAGGGAGGGTGGGAGAGAGATAGCAATGGGATGTGGTGAAGAGGTGGGAGAGACATAGCAATGGGACGTGGTGAAGGGAGGTGGGAGAGAGATAGCAATGGACGTGGTGAAGGGAGGGTGGGAGAGACATAGCAATGGGACGTGGTGAAGGGGGTGGGAGAGAGAGATAGCAATGGGACGTGGTGAGGGAGGGTGGGAGAGACATAGCAATGGGACGTGGTGAAGGGAGGGTGGAGAGACATAGCAATGGGACGTGGTGAAGGGAGGGTGGGAGAAGGGAAGCGAGAAAATGTGGAAACATGCAGCGGGGGGGGGGGGGGGGGGGGTGGATGAGAAAGAGCAATGTTCACATATAGAGAAGGCAGGGCAAGAACAGCAAGACACTGTTGAGACAAGAAAAAAAGAGAAGGCTATGAGGGTGAGAAACAACAAGAGGGGGGAGCAAAACAACAAGGAGGAAATGTGAGGGGGATATTTGATGGATTGATTAGTGAAAATCACGCCTGGCGCTGCAACAGCAGAGGGGGAGAGAAGCAGTGAGGGGAGCAAGAGCACAAGCAATCAAAGGAATAGCATGAAAGAGGGGGGGGGGGGAGATGGAGAAATAATAGGAGAAAGCATGCATGAAAAGAACTGGGAAAAGATGAAAATCAAATTGGGAAAGGCCAGAGAAGGGAGACGGAAAAATGAAATTTTTAAAAAGTAACTAAAGACCTAAAACTAGAAGGAAACAGCTGAAGCACTAGCAATATACCATCAATAACTAAGAAATAAAAGCACTGAAAAGGTCAATGAAAAATGTGCCCTCAAAACTTGGCCATCTGCACCACTATTTAGATTAAGCTTTCACATCACCATTTCCACAAACATACTTTCACATCTAAACCACATTCACTCAAATGGGGAAGAAATGATAAGTTTCTCTTACCTTGTCGGTGCCAGAGAGGTAGAAGTACTTTTCACCACCCATGTGAACTCCAGTCATTGCAAGGCCTTTCTGATCGGTAAAACTGTTTGCTAACTTTACTAACTCCTCCCGGGATGGCTGAAAAAGAAAAAATTTGAATCAGGACATAGCATACAAGTTCACAAAATTAAGTAAACAGATAAAGCAGCTTTTAAAATCAAAGATTGTATCCCTTAAAATTTCAAACAATTAAGGGAAAAAGTTATTACAACAATTTCTCAAGTCAAATCAAGATTGTAATATAATCATCTAATTAAGTACTTCGTGTAAACAGTAAATTTGTATCCTATTTATCTAACAATTTACAATTTTCCTTCATTTCAACGTAATACTAGATTGTTCCACACTAAATGTAAATATCATGCAAATATGCAGACAGGATCTACAAAGTAAACAAAAGAAGTGCACTCCGTATTTATCTATAGCAATACGTGGGGGGGGGTAAAAGTCGCTGCAATACACAGGAATGTCAAATATAAACATGTCCATTCATTATAAACTATTTTAAGTTTACGTAAAATCACACGCCAGATTTTTAAAGAATCCCTAAATTACTGACACTGCACTATCACTGCATAATTCTTGACATCCTGTTGTCATTAAACAAACGTTTGCCAGTATGAGACCCCCGACTGAACACGACAGATTTTTAACAATGTGGATTCCAAACATTTCACTTATTTCACTGCTGTACATAAAGAATTGCACTTATGCTTTAAATACAAACAAGTACGTACAAAAAGAGAAACAATACACCAAATATACAAACTGCAACAGTAAACTGTAGTATTTGTAGCTATATGTATCCTTTTGAAGCATTTTTACTGGCAATCAACAATTTCATCCAATGACAGACTGATCTTACACAATATAAAACTGCACATTTCAAATCTGAACTGTGGATAAATGATCTTTACAAAAGTGATGACTAACACCAAAAATATAAATTAAATAAGAGCTTATACTACCTTTAAATCTCGTGTGAAATATAAGCATTGCACCCTTCCCACTTTCACTAATCAATTACATCTACAAACTGATCTGGGTTAATGTAACCAAGAACGAACAGAAAGAAAAAGATACAATCTTAATGAGCACAAGAAATGGAGTCAAACTGAAAAAAGGCAAAAATATTCAATGCATACAACCTCTCAGACTAAGTCTGCAACACCTTTAATGTCCACTTTTTATAAGATAGCAAGGGAGTGCTAACAAAGGGAAGGTACAGGGAGGTACAGGGGTGCTTGACCCCCCCCCCCATTTAAGAAATAGAACAAAGTTAGATTTGTGTTTTGGGCCTTCCATATCTGGAGGGTCTCTCTCTTGGTAACAAATACTATAAATCTGTGTACATAGATACTGACATGAACAAACAAGTGCACAGAATTGGGTATCATAGCTTGCTATATTTGAAGCTAATGATGTCAAAGCAAAATGCAAGCTTGATTATGAATACAATACACAAGTGTATTTGTATAAGTAACACTATCATTGAAAGGCTAGTTTCCCCTACCATCACCAAATAACAGCCCTCTCTATTGCTGTATATAGTGCAAGTTAACTTCTTATGAAGCTTAATTCCAGTTTGTGCAGCCATATTAAGTGAAGTTTATTACCAAAAATATAATTCCAAAACTTGCTTTAGATTTAATGTAATATACAGCATATAACCAAAGTGTCACCTGATAAACATTTCAAGAAAAATAAAGTGAGACTAAATAGCTAAGTATCTACCATATGCATATGTAAATATTTACTTGTATTTGTATGTTACCAAATAAGTAAAAATGCGAGAACCTTGTACATTTTTTTTCACACATTTCCATACTGATAAAGGAGACAAGCTACAACTATTTTTGCTTTTATTAATTATTTGCAGAAATTTTATGCATGGAGTGGATATAATATTCCTTTCCCTGAAAAATTAACACGGAGGGGATGGGGAAGGGGATAATGTACCCACTCGTTCAGATACAATCAGAACTATTCTCCAAGCAAACTACTTATAAATCTATATAAATCTGATATCTACTATTCAAGAAATTAATAAAAACCACTAATCCTTGAAAAATTTCTCAACTTAAACAATGATGCAAACGGTCAAGTGTGGCTGCCAGAGTGACGACGCTGCACACTTTCACTTTTCCCCATTTGGCCCACATCCAGCTCAAGTTGCCAAGGTCTCCTCAATATGTTCTACTCTCTCCAACTCTACGGGGATGCTGGAGGGCCATTGCAACTTCTAATTAGCCTGTATGACAAATGCAGCACATTCACAAACACTGCTGGACTGTCCACATCAGCTTCTATATAAAATAATGCTTGGCAGAAACTTCAACAGGAAAGTATACAACCATCTGAGCATTCTCTTATTTTCAATGAACTCAATTCTCAATTCTTTTACACTATCTGTTAGGAAGTTTGGCGATTGTACAAACTGTCCAAAGCAATTTCTTATATTTGAACAAACTTTCCTGCTAGGCTTACCCTACAGACTCCTCAGGTATACTCTGACCTTCCATTAATACTTCACTATCACTGTATTAAGTCTCCACACCTTATTCTTAAATGTCAATCTGTACGAAAACATTCAAGCGATCAGATAAATACACTAAATGATTACTGCCATGTGCCAGCTTTCATAATGCATTTCTTGTATTGTACCAAACAAGCTTTTCCTTCCAGTTCAAAGTTACACCTAACTTTCCAACTTGCAATATTATTACAATTTCCGACACTGAATATATAAATGGCAGAGGGATTTAACAATTTTGTATGAATCAAGGACGCGAGACATGAAACAATGGAATGGGTATATAGTATAAGGAACTAAATATCTGCAAAACATCACGGTAAAAGATTTCAATCTCTTAATTTATATGTATCTCCGTGGGAATCAATTTCAAACTCTGCATCTACAGAACATGGGCAGTCAACGATTCATTTAAAATTTGGCAAAATTGAGCTTACAGCTCCCTGGCAATTTATCAAAAGAAACAAGAAAAGGCCCCATCTTGCCAGAAAATACATCATGGGGTTGTTGGCCTTTGCTGGTGCATCTAAGGAGCCAAGGGATTGTAGAACCAAACATGCACAGCCTTATGATATGACCATGAATTCCATGAACTTTCCAGTGAATAGAAGTCACCATTTAAATGTGGGTAGACAACCAAGGATGTGAAAGTTATCTGAAGAATGGAGTCTTTACATATTTCAGCACTTTATCAGAGAAACAACTCTCCCAAGCCCTGTCCTACCAGAACATACTTTAAGGTGACTTGTTGGCCTTTACTGGAGCACCAAAGGTACATATGCCACAAAATAATTTACATGGAAGTGACAGAGGTCTTAAAATTCATCTACTAAATGCCTTCAATCTTTTTATCTTGAATCATGTGCATGGTATGTCACAGAAAAAGCATAATCTTCACTCACCATTTACATAAATAATTTCTTAGAAAAAGAAAAAAAGAATTTTCTGCAATCCTCAATCCTCTACACTTTATACTTCACCAATGTGTTTAAGTACAAAATGCTCAATTAAGCCACATTAGCACAGCTTTCACACGAACAGTACTTTGGGGGGGGGGGGGCATGTTTTAGTAAGTCCACAATCACATGACAAGATTCCCTCTAAACATATTTTAAGCTAACTGACAAAGCTTCCACAATTCTCAGGTTTTCATGCTACAAGTCGATTTTAAATTCAATTTTCATGTAACTAAATTCCTACACCAAGAAAACACTGGCCTACAAACCTTTATATTATAATGCTATGATACAAAGAACTACCGTTGCTGACTGCACAATACAACCTTGAGCAGATCTGAATACACATGCTAGAAAAAAAATTGTTGATCAATACTCCTACACATTATTGCAATCATTGGTTTCGTAAAACTGCAAATAAAGGTTTCCAGTCACCAATGACCAACCGGCATTTCCTAGCGGATCCCTGCTGATTTTGAACAAAAGCCTCCTGTAAAAGGTCATTTATAGGCCTATCAACCGGTAAAGGCTTATTTCCAAACCGCGTGTTCCTCGGCCTTGTATCTTAGCCTCTTAATTTAGAGGAAGTGGCGGCATTTCCCTCAAAGAATACTCTTAAGGAGAGGGGGAAAGTGGTATTGATCAAGTTTAAAGCGCGCTCATTTTCTAGAAAGGGCGAACCGTTTCTATGGATTGCCAAACACTTAAAAATAACGTTACCGAAGCGGCTGGGGAGGGAAAGAACACCAAATATAGACATTTTCAGAAGTAAATCCACTGCACTGCCTCCGTCGCGGCTGAGGTGGGGGCAAGGAGAGGGGCAACCCGAAGGGGGAAGAGGCGAAAGGAGGAAATGAGGGTTAGGTGTGTGCGATGCCTCGGCCACGCCAGCCGGCCTTTGTCTGCCACCCGGCCACATATACTTACGCTTTTCGCTACTTTTCTACGTCTACGACACTTCTACGGATCACCTGGCACACGTTTGGTTAATTTCCTAAGGCTAGGAGTGCACAAGAGAGAGGAAGTAACAAAGAAGTCAACAGTAGTCAGCGGAGAAAGTAAGAACCGGCAAATCTTACTTACTTCGATGTTATCACTTTTGGCCCATAATGTGCCATCGTGACCGGCAATAACCGCCTTAGAAACAAAGCCAGAGCCCATCAGCTGCTGGTCAACGTAATTTTGCCACGACATTTTTTTGTGTGTGTAAGGAGAGGAATAATAATTGGTTTAGAAAATGAGCCAAAAGAGCCACTGCACCTCCCGCGCCAACACTGACTTGACTACTGCACGGGAGAGGCTGAGCCGCAGAACGCCGCCATGTCTCCTTCCGCGACACTGAGTTGCCACATGCCGACGGCTTCTTTTCTCTCTTTTTAAAATACATTTCTGATAGTACAATATTTTTTCTCCGTTGGGATTCGGTTTCGGGTATGTTCTTAAGGGGATTTAGTGTCATTTAGTTGATTTGA